GATAACAGTTGTATGAGCCCCTAATAAAATGTTTTAAAAAAAAGAACAGGCCACTGGATCCTGTTGTGCACGGCCATGTGACCACGACCCTGAGTGCCTCACCAGCACCCCGCAGAGGGTCACAACATCCACCTGGTGTCCTCGGCGCCCTGTCTGGTAGATCACAGAGGCTTGGTGGTCACTCTCTGGAATAAATCCAATAACATGAAACGCAATGAAAGACAACCTACACTAAATTTTATCCTGAGCATTTCATGCAATTCAATAAATGGAGATGGCACCCAGATACAGCAGCGTGACGCTGTGTGACAGGCATGGAGAAGAACAAAATACGACCCCTTCTCTTCAGGCGCTCATGATCTGGTGGGGGGTGGGAGCGGGCGGGGAGGCAGATAGAGACAAAGTATCTTATAGTCAAGGTGACAATGATGAGGGCACAGAATGTTAACGGGAAATCGAAGGGCATTAGGTTTGGAACCCAGGATCTCTGGAAAACTGTTACTGCAGGTTCGTTCTCTGAGGTCGGCCTTGAAGTCTTGCTGGGCTCTCCCCTGGGGGGATTTCAGGTACACATAGCAGAAGTTCCGCAGAGCATCCGCTAAGTCGGATGACCCTCTCTCTAACGCTCATGGGATGCTGGAGGGCAGAGATTGCAGGACCCTTTTCTTTCTGATTTCCTGTCACCGCTCTCAGTTCTCAAGTATTTTGCCTCTGGTTTCTCAATTCTCTCTCCTGGTGACCCAGCTGATTTCCTCCAGGGAAGAGTTCACATTAGCATTTCTATAGGGAGCACCTGCTCCCTCCTCTCTGCCTACTAACTGATGGCTGGGGCAATGGGGTTGACTGGGAAGGGAATTTCAATCCCCTCCTTAGGCCTCATTTCATTCTCCTTGAGTACACTAGGTCCAAAGTCACAAATGGTTGGCCAGTGAAATTCACCCCCTTCCCGTTGAAAGTGGTGACATAAAACAAAACAAAAAACCCACATGCTTCGCAATTTTATATCATCTATGTAAAATTAGTATGGCCAGAATGAATCAACCTTATGATTGTGAACCACTCTAAAGTATAACTCAGATGACACTTAAATGCCAAACTCCCAGGCTAGTGGGGATGGGTCATGAGTTAGATGAACTGTGAAGTAAGGGAGGTTTCTCAACACCATCCTGCCAAAGGACAGGCAAGGTTGTCTACTGTTTTTTTGTCTACTGTGTTTTGTAGCAGAGAACAAATTGGCATGTACATGATTCCGGATGCTGAATGGTTTCTTTCACCATCTCTCCCAATATATTAAGCTTATGGATCAAGTTTTCTTTCTCTATGTAAGGAAATGGCTTGCATATTTGCCATGTGACAGATGCCATCTGTAAAGCCCAAGAGACGAACTAGTCACTGAGGTGTAAACACATCATGATGTATGTAGGACTGAAGGAGAGAGGGTCTGTGAACCACATTTTCATGCAAATGAGTCTACCATGGTTTCTAAGGCAATGTACGGTGCATCTACAACAGAACACGGTCCCAGGCCAACTCAGGAAATATCTAGAATCAGAGCAAGAGGAAGAATAAAAGGCAACAGAGGAGGAAAAAAATCAATGTTCCAGAAAAACCTGTAACATCCAGGCGGTTTCCCTCTTTATAGTATATTTAATTTATAGAAAATCTAATTTCGTTATGTCTACTTTCATTCAAAGCACATTTCCCTGTTTTTTTTTCTTCCAGACTAAAAAATAAATGTTAGATTTCACATCAAATTTGCCACGCATGTTGAAATCATCTGTTCAAGAAATTGATATTGTTCAGGAACATTCATTCCAGCTATGAAGGGTTACTTTTACGATGTTTGGGGGAAGGGGCTCTGTGGAACAAAGGCACAACCTAAACCATTTAGACTCGGTTGTATCTGAAAGGTGTGGTCACTTCTTGAACATCTGGACATCCACTCATGGACAAAAGAAGCCTAACCAAGTTGGGGGTAAAAAAACCAACTGAATAGGACTTCCCACGGTGAATCTGAAATATGTCAGTGGGCATAGACCATAGAGAGGGGAGGGCAGGGAGCACCTACCAGGGGGGTGGGGGTGGGTAAGTAGTGCCGCCCACAGTGAGGGAGCATGGGAGTAGGTAGTGGCAAAGGCCGGGTCAAGAATCTCTGCAGTTAGGCATAGTTTAGGGATCTCAAGGAAGGAAAACAAGCCAGCCATGGCAGGATCCAAAAAAACGACATTATGGGTTTGCTTTTCATGCTCGTTCGTTTCCTTTCTTTCCTTTACCTTCCCCGAGTAGCCTGCTTAAGATACTGTGAACGTCCACTTCCTCGTGGAAGAGATATGTGTCCTTGCTTGATCCAGAGTTTTAAATGGAAGCAGCGTGCTCCTGGGGCGGGAGGGGGTGAGTGTGGTCACAATAACAATACAGGAAGAGAGAATGGCCAAGTTGGAGTGGAATCCGGGAAGAAGGAGTAGGGGCCAATTGATTTCTCATTGGGAAATGCCTCCCAGGGTAAAACCCTGGGGGGTGGATTTTGTCTTAAGGAAAGAGGCTGTCTGAGGATGGTCGTCTTCTTCCTCAGGATATGAGGGAGGGGGTGACATGTGCACCAGAGAAGGCCATTCATCGGATGATGAGGCTACACCGAGGGTCTTGGCAAAGGACTCTAACTGCAGTCCTCCCCACCACGCCCTTCTGCAGGAAGGAGGCGACTGGCTGTGGCATTGATAAAGAATCCGTACTCTGAACCCCTCCAGCTCCATTACTCATCATGAACATCTGCCTCCCCAGGGGCCCAAGCCCCAGGTTACATGGGCAGCAGAGTCAACTGTGATCTGTTAGCTAATTGATTGGGGTTATAACATAAGGGCAAGACTGAAAGCTGGGTATTCAGAAACAGATATCAGATGGATGAAGCATGAGAAAGCAGGCTGGAAGGCCTGAGGCCACTGCAGAGGGAAAATTCTAGAAGGACGTTGCGAGACAGACAGAGTAGGGGGTGGGGTGGGGAGAGGCTTCCATGCTTGAAGCCATTAGTTTCCGTGGAATCGGAATATGTTACATGAGGTGGTGGTGAAGAGAGAGCGGATGAAGGAACAGAGCGAGCAGATGCAGTCATAGTGGAGTGGAGGGATGCAGGAAGTGGGACTGAGAATCACAAGGCATCACATGGGGTAGAAGGTCAGTGGGTGCTCTTCTGCTGAACCACCTCATTGACCCCACAAGGTGGCTAGTGCAGCGCCCGCCATAGTCAATGTTGTCGTTGTTGTTGTGAACATCTGAGTCCATTCCACGTCATGGTGACCTGTGCTGTCTGGTGGGGTCTGTCTCATAGAGACTGTGTGACCAAACAGAACTGTTCTCACGGGGTCTCCCAGCTGTCATGGGAGCAGCCTGCTAGGCTTTTTCTCCCAGGAGCTCCTAGCAGCCTGGAACCCCCAAATTTTGGGTGAACAATTCAGGACTAACCATTGAGCCACCAGGGCCCCTTAGCATCTGCTCCGAAATGTGATGGATGCTTGACGTTAGATCACTACATAGGAACAATCCTGAAAGAAGTCTGTCAGTCATTGCTTCTTCCAAATAGGAGCCTGTGGACTATAGCTGATAAGGAGCAGAAAGGAATCTGACTTCGAGATGAAAGGCAGAAGGAAAAGGCCTCTGTAAAGGCCCCGGGAGGATTAGGGAAGGGTGTGGCACTTGGGTGCTGCCCAAAGACTGATGGGGGGTGGGGGTGGGGGGAGGTCTGAAGGGCCTAGTCCACTGGACTCAGGAGGATGGAGCCCTGTGAAGGTTCCAAAGCTGTTCGTGGCAGCCCACCAGCAACAGGGGCAGTACCCGGCTAATACAGCAGGTGAATTGGGTGGAGCGGGTGGAAATTGCTAAGGGTCTCAGTTGGGCAGCAGGGATCTGAGGAGGGGCGAGGTGGGGGAAAGATGGCGAAGGCCACGCGGGAGACCTGGGAAAGCTGAGGTGGGTAACACTGACACCTTTCACACCTGGAAGGGCAGAAGAGGAGCCAGCGCAGGAGGGTACCTGGGTGGGATTGGGGTGGGGTGTGGCCCAGGATGGGAGCTCAAGCTGCACGTGAAGCTGAGATTCTGAGAATGAGTCTTGGGCGGTTTCTAAAGGGGGACCTGAACGGCGGCCCGCGTCTCACCTGTAGGAGCTGCTCACTGCACTTGTCACCTCTTCTCGGATTTGTCTGTTGAGGGCATCTGCCACCGCACGTCCCTTGCCACTCTCGGAGCCGGCCGCCTGAGCTGGGGGCGCCGGCTTTGGGGTCTGTTCGGGGCCCAGCCCCTCTGCGCGGCGCAGCATCCAGGGGGGCCCGGCCTTCTTTCGGGTGTCGCGCTCATCTCCGCCGGACGACTTTCCGGCCGCAAGGACGATCTTCGGAGCCATCTCCTGCTCCGGGGCCTCAGCGGCGACCTGCACTGGCCAGCGCTCCTGGCTCTTGGGTCTGCGCTTAGGCGCCCCGAGGCTGGGCTCCGGGGCCTGCGAGGTCGTGGGGATCTGCAGGGGCTTGGGGATCCACGGGTGGTCCCCGCGGCGCGGCAGTGGCCAGGCACGGAAGTCCTTCTTGTACTGGGTCTCGCGCTCGAAGGGCGCATCGGAAGGCTGGTACTCGCTGCGAGGCCGGCAGATCGGCTCGGGCCTCTGCACCTTCCAAGCGCGATAGTCCTGGCGCATCACCGAGTCCGCGGGGCCCGCGCTGGACGCCGAGCCCGCGCCCGGGCCGCTGCGGCCCTGCGCTGCCGCCGGCGCCTCGCGCTCGCCGCCGGGCCCGGGCGCCGGCCCTGTTGCCCTGGCAACTGCATCCAACTCACCCTGGGCCGGCTGAGTCTCTATGGCGACCGCGCGCGCCGAGGGGGGCGCTTGCGTCGCCTGCACTTGCTGCTGTGGAGGCGGCGGCAGCGGCAGCGGTTGCGGTGGGGCCCCAGGGTGCTCGGTGGCCTCCGAGTACTTGGTGAAAACCAGCGGCACGGCGATGTCCGCCTTGTCCAGCTGGTTCCAGAAGCGGGCGATGCAACAGGCCCGCGTGATGCACGGCCACGCCATGATGCTGGCTGCACAGGCTGCTTCTCGCTCTTGCTTCGGGAACAGGTCTCTCGACCCCCTGTTTTCAGCCCTATGGCCCTCAACCAGCCAATCCGGTGGCCCCCGGGTTTTTCCTGGTCAGCCTGCGCTCCCTGCCTTGCGGCTGTAGAGAGCACCCGGGGACAGCGCCTGACCCCAAGGCCGGGCCCGCCAAGCTACTGCGGGGCTAGTCTAGGAGTCCCTTGGTTGCCGGAGACAAGCGATCCTCCTGCAAAGAAAGGTGTCCAGAGCGCGCTCGGCAGCGGCGCCGAAGGGCAAGAGGCACCGTGTCCCCGAGTCCCCGGCGGCGAGGGCGTCTGGGAAGCGCCCCTCCCTGCGGCTGCGGCGGCGCGCAGACCCTGGCCGAGCAAGGCGACGCGCAGAGAGGTGGCTGCAGGCTGGGCTTAAGCCATGGCGCAGAGAAAGGGCCCGGAGCGTGTCCGCGGGGTTCGAGGACCGGCTCTGTTTCCTCCCACCGGCGTCCGAGCGTAGCCGCCCGAGCTGGGAGGGGATCGCCTCCCGCGGAGACTGGGCTTTGCTGCCGCTCAGTGCGGTTGCAGCCGCTCTCGCCGCCGCCGCCGCCGCTTCTGCTGCAGGGGCGCGGCCCCACCCTTTTCTTCCACTCGGCGGAGGGGGTGGAAATCCAGGAAAGATGCTGAGAGCAAGCGCGCTGCGGAAAACATCACCTGCTGTCGTCACCGCGCACGACCCGGAGCTCGCCCTCCCTCTCTCCCCCACCCCACCCCACCCCCTCCTCCTGCTCCCCCCAGCTCCGCCCTCGTCCGCTCCCAGGGAACAAGGGATCTGGGGCCTTGGCGGGTTCAAATCCCAGACTCACGATGACTTGCTGCCCTGACGATTGTCCACGGTTTCTCTTTTGTAAAATGGGACCAATCATTTGGGGGTGGGGGGGAAGAGGATTACACTTTTTAAATATGGAGGAAACCACTCGTGAAATGCCAATTCCATGTTTGTTTGTTATTTTTAAAGGTAGCTACCATTATTCCAAAGTCAAAAGCTGCATCTGAACTCACTCTGACTAGCGCCTGATCCACGAGCAAGCTTACCAGTCTCCCACGCAAGCACTGCTGCTTTCCTGGGGACCCTTGGGGTATCTTAGACCCTCCCACACCCATCCAGGCCCAGTTCAGCCCGGAGACCACACTGAAGAGAAGGGGGTGAAAAGGAGATTCTTTTTAAAACAAACAAAGCAACAAAACGGCTTCTTTTGAATTAGGTGGAGGGTTACACATCAAATTTTTATTTTTGCATTCAGTAATGTAAACAACTGTCAAACCTACGGAATGGCTTGCCCTGCTCTCACTCGAGCCCCCCTCCCTCTGGAGGGCTACTATCTTGAAAGAGGCCAGAGCTGGAAGGTTGGGAGTGGGATAGCTCAAGGGGGGATGGGCACGGGGAGGGTCTGGGATGGGGAACTGCCCTAGGATGGAGCAGGGTCTGCTCTAGCAGGTCCAGGCTCGGAGGGGTCAGGCAGACCTAGGTTGGCACATACTGGGGTATATGGGTCAACGAGACACGTGTGACATCTCTAGTCCTCTCTGAAGAACGTAAGAAACAAAATGGGTACCTCTAAGTGGTTTTGTGAGAATAGTTAAGGACTCAGAGCAGAATCTTTGAGTCAAATAAAATCCACAGCGATTCACATCCTGGGCTTTGGGGCTCTTTAGTTGCATGGCCTTGAACAAACTGCTGCACTTTTCTGACCTTTAATATCTCATCTCTAAATCAGAGTACACATTCTCAATTTGGAAGGTGGTTCTGAGAATGAAAAATTAGTTAATGTATGAAAAGTGCTTCCCACAGTATCTGGCATAGAACAATGGCTCAATAAATAGTAGCTATTATTACGCCACCAAGGAGTCCTGATGGCACAGTGGTTAAAGCGCTGGCTGCGAAGCAAAAGGCTGGCTGTGGGAACCTAGCAAAGATACAGCAGTCTGTGTCTATACAGATTGACAGCCTCGGGAATTGTGGGTAGTTATCCTCTGTCCCAGGAGTTGGAATCACACTGGCAGCAGTGGGTTTGTTTGTTATCAAGCCGGTGGTGGGTTGGTGGTAAAATGCTTGCCATTTATGTAGGAGATGGTTCAAAACTGTGCAACAATGGGCTCAGGAAGACACAGGACCTAGCAGCATTTTATTCTGTCTTGAATTGGGGTGCTATGGGTTGGATGACTAACAAGAACAGCAATATGCAGGAGATTCCTGGGCAATCTATTGCAACGCAATTCAAGACATTCCGTGTACAGCCATCACCTGTCATTGGTGGCTTGGGACTGCAAATATGCTGAGAAGATTTCGACGGCGCTTCCAGATTATGATAGACTAGGAAGAAAGGCCCAGTGAGCTACTTCTGAAAAATCTGCAATGAAAACCCTATAGATCTTCTCCAAGAAGCCCGCCTGTGCTCCCAAGGGTCTCTTGGTCTCCCCTTGACGTCCGTGTCTCTCTCCCGCCCTGCACCGCTCTCCCACCTCCAGCTCCAGCCCTTGGCTTCTGGCTTTGTTTCCCGCCCATGTTGGCAGACTTTTCAGCATCAGCCAATTACAGTTGAGGGTGTTGGTGTTTCTGGGGGAGAAAGTCATTTTTGTGTCTAGATCAGGGATTAATTGTAAAACACATTCTTCTGTTTGTAAAAACCTTAGGTTCAAAGGGAACAAGAAAGACATCTCTGATTAGTTAATTATCTGCTGAACTTCCTCCTACTTGGGTCTTTGCATCTTAGTGATTTGATTTGGGTTCCACAAATAAAATAATGTCTGGCACTGTTTTCCATTCCTTAGGAAATGCATTTCTATAAACAATATCATCTACTCTGACTCTTCCTATCTCTAGCCCCGCAGAATTCCCTGAGATTGGGCTGATGTCTTTTCAATGACGATTTCCACAGGTAAAAAAGAGGGACTGGAAATTGGAGGGCTGGGGTCTGTAGTGAGCGATATTGGACATTAGTTCTCTGATGCCACCTCTACTCTGTGGCCTACCCATTATTTGGCACTGCATGCCACAGATGGAGTCTAGCTCTTGCTATTGTTGTCAGGTGCTGTCCAGACGGCAGTGACCCTAGGTATGCCAGAACCAAACACTGCCCAGTCTCGTGTACTTGATCGAGCCCACTGTGACAACCAGTGAGATGTCAACCCATCTCCCTGAGGGCTTCTTCTTTGTTGCTAGCCCTCGACCTGACCAAGCACGAGACCCTTCTCCACATGACACCTCTGACGTATGTGAGACGGAGTCCCACCATCCTGGCCTCTAAGGAGCACTCTGGGCATGCGTCTCCCAAGACAGATTCGTTGGTTCTTTTGGCAGTCCGGGGTACTTTCAACACTTTCCTTGTCAGCACCACAATTCCAATGCATTGATTCTTCTTCAGTTTTCCTTATTTAGTGTCAAATTTCACAGGCCCATGAGGCAATTGAAAATACCATGGCTTGGGTCAGACACACCTTAGTCCTCAAATACAGTAACTGCCTTGCTCTTAAACGCTTTAAAGTGTTTTAAAGTGGTCTTGTAAAAAATAAAAGAGGTCTTGTACAGCAGATTTACCCAGAGCAATACATAGTTTGATCTCTTGACTACTACTTCCATGAGCATTGATTGTGGATCCAAGCAAGATGAAATCCTTGACAACTTCAATATTTTCTGTCTGTCACGAGGTTACCTACTGATGCACTCGTGGGGATTTTCTAGCTCTGGAGGAGCCCTCAGTTGTAGGGGGATGGGATAACTGAGACACACACACACACACACACACACACACACACACACACACGCCGGAATCCTGGTGCTCAAGTTCCTCTTCCCGAAATTTCTTTAGGACCTGAAGGACCTTCCTCGGCCTTTTCAGGACCCTTCTCCATCAGCCTCTGGATCTGGTTGTGACAATGAAGTGCCATGGGCTCTTTCACAGCAGGGTGCCAAGCCATCTCGCCTCCCTTCCTGAGCAAGAGGATCCCAGCTCGCACAAATCTCACCATGTTCCCAAAGGCCATGAGAGCCCGCTGACGGCCGGACCCCGAGCGCCAGCATCGCCGAACTTTTCTAGATGCCACATTTTCTGGACTGACGCTGGTCCAGCCAAGACGCCCGCTGCCCTGCATCGGTGCGGTCGGCTCCATGGTCGCCGGAGTGATCCACCCGGATTATTCGACTCACGGTGGCCGGCTGATGGTGTCAAAGGTCATTCCCAAACTGCAAAGCCTGGCACTGAGCTCCCTTCCACACGCGGGGCGGAGCCGCCAAGGATTTGTTGAGTGCTTCCGCACAACCAACCCTTGAGGCGCTGAACATGCTGGCCAGTCGTGCCCTTGGCGCTGACTGGGGATCAATCTTTTTTATGGCGCAATAGGTAATAAGTATACCTAGGGAAAAATGGACACACTTCTGAGGAGAAAAATAATCTTCCTAAAAGTGATGTTAAGAAAGGATAGAAAACTTGCATAGTTCAATAAATCAAATCAAGAATAGAAAGTTCAAAAACCAAACTGACTGCCTACGAGTCGATGCCGACCCATAGCGACCCTAAAGGACAGGGTAGCCGTGGCCTGTGGGTTTCTGACTGTCACTCTTTACCAGAGTGAGAAAGCCCCTCTTTATCCCTTGGAGGGGCTGGTGGCTGACTCTGCAGTTAGCGGCCCCAATGCATAACCCCAACTCCACCAGAGCTGCCAGGACTTAGAAATCTACCCACAGAAAGAGATGGAACCCTTTGGTTTGGGAGTCCCACAAAGCCTTCAAGGAACAGAGGATCTCTATGGGTTGTAAATTACTTAATAGAGTATCTTCTTTTGGGTGGTTGTTTTGTTCATTTGGGGCTGGGAGGAAAGAGAGGGTCCTAGGAGATGGGAAAAGGGCGGGAGAACCATCAACCTGCTTGTTTTGTTCTTATTTTCCCTTCCTTGTACTGTGGTGGCCGGTGGACCTGATGTGGACACCGCTTCAGTTTGCAGCAGCATAGCATCCAGGACTGCTCTGCTGAATTCCCAGTGAGAAGAAAATCAATTAACAATGACCCTATGTATGGCAAAACACCGCTCCGTCCTCTGCCATGCTCACAGTGGGTCCTACGTGTGGGTCTATTGCTGCAGCTATTCCATCAATCCCTCATGTGGAGGCTCTTCTTCTATGCTGTTGGCTCTTGCGTGATGCTCTGCAGCGATGGGCCCTTCTGATAACATGTCCACAGGGCATGAGAGGCGTTCTTGCCACCTTCACTCCTAAGGAGTACTCTGGCTCTCCCTCCTCTAAGAGAGATTTATTCATTCTTCCGTAGTCCACGATATTCTTATTACTTTTGTAGACGCTGTGGCTGGTGTTGAGATTATGTATATTAGATGTTGTTATTGTCGTTTTTAGGTGCCACTGAATTGGTTCCAACCCATAGCAACCCTATGTACAAAAGAACGCACTGTTGACAGGTCCTGTGCCAGCCTCACGGTTGTTCTATTGTTTGAGCCGTCTCAGAAAGGCTCTTCCT